CTCCAAGCCCTTTTAAGAGTGAGCAAAGAGGGGGGCTGGAGCGATACACAGCGGGTAGGGCATTTGCCTTGCACATGGCAGACCTGGGTTTGATCCCTGGCATCCCATATGGTCCCCTGAGTAATGCCAGGGCTAATTCCTGAGTGCAGAGCCAGGGGTAACCCTGAGCATCACCAGGTGTGACCCAAAATGCAAAATAATAATAAATAAAATCTTAAAAAAATTAGAGTGAACAAAGAGCCAGAAGTAAGCCCTGAGCATTGCCAGGTAAGGCCTCCTCCCCCAGCAAACAAACAATCCCCTCCCCCCAAAAACTGAAACCAAAACAAAAGATGAAAAGGAGTTGAGCTTCAATCTTACTACATGATTTCACTGAGCGCTGCTGGGAGTGACCCCAGAGCACTTAGCCAAGAGTAGCTTCTCAGCACCCTAGATGCTTCATTGCTCCCCTAAAAAGTTAAATAAAATCCGAGACTATTCTGTGCTGTACAATCAGGTCCATGATTTAGATGTAGATCCAGTCACTGGAAGAGAGTAAACGAGCAAAAGAGAACTTAAAAACTTTGCTCAAGTTTCATCCTCCTCATTGTTGTCAAGAGAGGAGGGGCTGTGCTTCTGTGTATACCCTGGAAAAGGATTTGGTTAGAAAGCACCCTCCAGGGGTCAGAGCATTAGTGTAGGGTTTTGTCTTGCATGTGGCCAAACGGGGTTCCATCCCAAATGGTTTCCAGAGCACCACTAGGAGTGAACCCTGACTGCAGAGCCAGGAGTAACCCCTGGGCATAACTGGATGTGCACCCGCCCGCCCCTTAGCATTGGACAATGCTAAGGGATAACTCCTGGCTCTGTGCTCAGCAATTACTTCTGGTGATGCTCAAGGCAATGCATGTGGTGCCAAGGATCAAACCCAGGTTGACTGCATGCAAGGCAAGCCCTACCCACTGTACTATTGCTCCAGCTCTGAACCTGAGATTGTATTCTACTCTATATCTAGCTTTCTCTGTATTGCGTTAAATTGTTAACGAAACAACTTAAAACAATTAACAGAGATAATAATAACATGGGAAAGAATAGGGCTGGAGTGATAGCACAATGGTAGGGCGTTTGCCTTGCGCGCGACTGGGGTTTGATTCCTCCGCCCCTCTCAGAGAGCCCGGCAAGCTACCGAGAGTGACTTGCCCACATGGCAAAGCCTGGTGAGCTCCCCCGTGTCGTATTCAATATGACAAACGCAGTAACAAGTCCCACAATGGAGACGTTACTGGGCCCACTCAAGCAAATTGATGCACAGCAGGAGGACAGTGCTACATTCTATTCTGAGAATGTGGAAGAAGTCTCCCCCAATGCTCAGGAGGTCCTGGGGCCCCTCCCAGTGATTCTCAGCTAACTTGGCCAGTGGTTCAGTCTGAGAACCTGAGGATGCAGCACTGCTCTGACTGGGTTTTACCTGGGTCCCCAAGACTCCAGCCCAAGACTCCAGCCATGCTCAGGAGAACCATTTGGTGCTGAGGAATGACCCAGTGTTGACCGCATGCAAGGCAACTGCTTTAAACCCTCTACTTTCTCTCTGGCCCCTGTTTTCTATTTAAAAATTTTTTTTCATTCCGGTGATAGACATTATATCTGCTCGACTTGTTTGGCTATGTGTTCATAAATATTTAAATTTTCAGTTCAGTTAAATATTAATGTCTCCAGCCATCAGTACACATTGTAAGATTTTTAATGTAGTAAGAAATAAGATTGATGAGCACGGGGTTATTTCCAACCGTTCACCTGTAAAGAATAGTGTATTGCAGACAAAACTAGCATAAAAAAATAATTTGGGGAGGGAGTTGGGGCCACAAGCAACTGTGTTCAGGATTTATGTTTCCTGTGCTCAGGGATCACTCCTGGTGGTGCTTGGGAACCATGTGTGATGCTGGGGATTGAATCAGGGTTGACTGTGGGCGAGGAAAACCTTACTCCCTGTACTATCTCTCTGGCCTCAAGAAAACTACAATTTTGAAAGAAGAGCAAATGTAGCGCATCATGTTCAGGAAATAAAACAGGCTTTTTGCACACTAACATTACTCATTCATAAATTGGTATATTTCAATTACACGATACATTTTTTTTTTTTTTTTGCTTTTTGGGTCACACCGGCGATGCACAGGGATTACTCCTGGCTCTGCACTCAGAATTTACTCCTGGCGGTATTCAGGGGACCATATGGGATGCTGGGGATTGAACCAGGGTTGGCCACATGCAAGGCAAATGCCCTACCCACTGTGCTATCGCTCCAGCCCCAATTACACGATACATTTTAACCTAAAATTAAAATTACTTTTTTAGGGGCATTTTTTGGGGAACATACTTTCAGTGGTACTCAATGGTCACTCTTGGTGGTGCTTAAGGGACCAAATAGTCAGCCAGGCAGGCACTTTTATCCCTGTACTAGTTCTAGGGGCCCTCAAATTAAAATTTTTATTATTTTAACTCAATTACTTTTTTTTTCTTTATGGGTCACACCTGGCGATGCTCAGGGGTTACTCCTCGCTCTGCACTCAAGAATTACTCCTAACAGTGCACGGGATACCATATGGGATGCCAGGAATTGAAGGAATTATCATATGGGATGCCAGGGTCAGCTATGTGCAAGGTACTCACACATAAAGCTGAACTGTAGAGCTTGAACCTGAAATGCTTTATTGTTTGTTTGTTTTTGGGTCACACCTGGTGTGTTTACTTCTGGCTCTACACTAGGACTACATCTTGCTGGGGCTTGGGGGAATGTATGGGTTGTCAAGGATGGAAACTTCTCCCTGCTGGCTACTCCTCATTCCCAGAATATTCAGGTCTACTCCCAAGCCACTGGGCTTCTTATGGCTTTCAGGGGCTGGTACGGTACTGGCCCGTCACAGGACAGACCTGTGGTTTACTCCCCAGCATCCACTATTGTCCCCTGAACCCCACCAGGAGTGGTCCCTGAACACAGTGCCAGGAGTAAGCGCTGAACCCAGATGGGTGTGTTCCCAACAACCCCCAAAGCAAAAAGCTTCCAATCTCTCTTCCCCCTGCCCATCTCGAAGGTCCCCCTTAGGCTGGTACAGCGCTGGCTCCCTTTGGGCTCTTAATCAGTCACCTGCTGTCTCGAGACTTCCAGAGAGAGAGATCAGGTGCGCCTCCTCCGCCTCTGGGACTCCAGCCTCTGCCAGCGCCCTATCCCTGAGCTGGGCACTGACGGGTCCCTCCCTCACCCACCGGAGCCCAGCCCAATGCCACCAACTCTGCTCAAGCCACATCTCCCCTCCATCCCTCCTCTGAGACAGGGAAACCCTCTGGATCCCACCCCACACCGGGGAATCAGGGGCAGGGCCTCGGCCAGGTGGGCCTGGGAGAAGAGCTGGGTTCCGAAGGACAGACCCTCAAGTGCCCCCCACGCCTCCTCTCCCGTGGGGGGACTTGAGGGCAGTTCCAGTTCCAGGCCGGTATGTTGGCGCCCTCTAGAGGACAGTTCTGTTAGCGCAGGCGCCGGCCAGCTCCGCGCAAACCCACGGCGACTTAGAGCGCGCCAATCCCCATCCCATCCCACCCGGGGTGCTCGCTTGCTCCCTGCTTTCACCTGCCGCAGCAACCCCGCTTTCACCTGCGTTCCCGCAAGCCTCAGCACCAGGCCGCCCGTTCCAGTCCCAAACTGTCCCTCCTTGAAAACCCCGCCAGGCCCTTGGCTCTAGAGTCCTCTCCGCCTGCAGCAGGTCAATCCTGGTTCCCTGGGCCCAAGCCGCCTCCAACCGCCCCTCCTTTTTTTTTTTTTTTTTCCTCTTTAGGTCATACCCGGCGGTGCACAGGGTCAGGAATTACTCCTGGTGGTGCTCAGGGGACCATATGTGATGCTGGGAATCGAACCCGGGCTGGCCGCGTGCAAGGCAAACGCCCTAACCTCTGTGCTATTGCTCCAGCCCACCCCCTCCAACCCCCTTTTTGCTCCTCTGCAGGGTCCTGCCCTAAGGGTTTTCCCGGAGTTCCCCATCTGTCTCTCATGAGGGGGTTCCCAAAGTCTGAGCCCCAGTGCTGGAGAGACCACACAGTGGGGAGGGCGCTTGCCTTGCAAGGGACCAATCCAGGTTCCATCCTCGGTACCCCATATGGTCCCCAGAACACGTCCAGGAGTGGTCCCTGAATGCAGAGCCAGGAGTAACCCCTGAGCACCGCTGGGTGTGGTCCCCTAACCCAAACAACTAGGCACCCCTTGAGGGGAAGGCTTGACTGGCTCCCGCACAGACTGGGGTTTCCCTAAAAAGTATCATCTGGGGCGGGGGGGGGGGGGGTTGGCAGCAGAGAGATAGTAGAGCCAGGAAGGCCAACCCAGGCTCGATCCCAGTACTGCAACATGGTCCCCTGAGCCAGGAGTGATTCCTGAGCACAGAGCCAGGAGTACACCCTGAGCTCTTACAGGTGTGATCCACCCTCACCCCCACATCACTTATAATGTGTTATAATTATAATTACTTATAAGAGGACTTTTCCCTGAGCCCGTGGCGGTGAGGGGCCACCCAGGGCCTGAGTCTCTCCTTCGTCCTCCAGAATGGAGTTTCCTGAGGCTGGCCAGGGCCCCTCCCGGATCACACCACTCCTGTCAATCTCCGTTCCCACTCTCTGCTGGGTCGCCCCCCAGCTTCGGGGCCCGTGAGAACTTGCCCTGGCTCCTGCTGGACTCCTGACTCAAAGCACAGGCCCTTCCTCTGGGACCAGGAGGCCCTGGCGGAACTCAGCCTCTGACCCCACCAGGGCTTCCTCCAGGCCCTGCTGTGGGCGGGCAGCGCTGGCAGGCGCGGCTGAGGTTATTTTGGGCGCGCGTCTGCATGCAGTTCCAGTGGCCAAACCCCTGCCCCACTAACCTCTTCCCTGGAGAAGCAGGAACAGCACTGGGGGGGCCGAGGCCTGGGCTGGGGGGCGGAGAGACAGCAGAGTGCCTGGCCTGGGATGTGAGCCCAGCAGGGGACAGTCCGAGAAGCAAGACCGGGACCCACTGTCTGGAGTCCCCGTGGTGTGTACTCGGAGGAACCTGTCAGCTCCGCAGAGTGAGTCCCCTCCATGTGCGGCTGAGATGGGGCCATGGGGGCGGGCCTGGGGCCCACACGGAAGGTGGTGACGGTGAGAGCCGAGGAGGGGACTCTCACTGGGAGTAGAAAGTGTCTAGTGTCTGCTCTGGTGTAGGCCCAAGTGCCGTGTGACGCACCCTGCCTCAGTTTCCCCAAATGAGCTTAGGCTGAGAGACCGGCAGTGGAGTGGAGACCATGGAGCAGGGCTGAGCTGGCCCTGTCCACCGAGCATGGGCATGGGGCAAGAAGAGAGAGAGAGAGAGAGAGAGAGAGAGAGAGAGAGAGAGAGAGAGAGAGAGAGAGCAGCCCATGGAGCCCCAACGGAAGGGAGGTCCAGTCAGAGAGAGGGGCCCCTGCAGGCCTGCGGGCAAGGCTGCTCCCCCCAAGTTCCCTCCCGAAAGGGCCCCGACTCAGCCAGAGGTTCCTAGGGTCAGCGCATCCTAGGGACGGGACTTGGGGAGCCGGGACCTGACTAGAGAACAGGGAGTCCTCTGGGTGGGAGATGAGGGTGACGGGAACCCCTGGGCAAAGGGGCGGCGGGGGGGTGTTCAGGCAAGGGGAGGGGCAGCTTTGTTCTGTGATGGGGACAAGGGGCGAAGGAAGCTTTCGTGCTTCATTGTGCACACGTGTTTGTGTGCACGTCTGCGTTCATGTTGTGTGTGCACACAACCGTGCGTACATGAGTGTATACATGTGTGTGCACGTGTCTGTGTTTGCACGTGCATGGGCATGTACATGTATCTGGGTGTGCACACGTCTGTGTGTTTGCATGTGCGGGAGTGTGCACGTATGTTCGTGTGTGCACACGGATGCAGGAAGGGGCCCCTGGAAAGCCAGCAGCAAGAGGGTCTGTATTTGGGGAGAGCCCTAGTGACATGGAACTGTGTCTGTATTTGGGTAGCCCCCTAGTGACGTGGAACTGTGTCTGTATTTGGGTAGCCCCCTAGTGACGTGGAACTGTGTCTGTATTTGGGTAGCCCCCTAGTGACGTGGAACTCTGGGCTTGTCCACTGTCTGAGGCTGGGCTGCCACCTTGGGACCATTCGACACTATTATTATCTTATGAAAATATTACCTTGGGTCTCCCGCCTGGTTCCAGAGGAAGGGTCTGTGCTCTGGGTATTTCCTCCGGGTCGGGGGGGGGGGGGCTCTCAAGGCTCTGGTTTCCCAGCTCAGGGGTCTTGACGCCTGGCCAGGCCGAGGAAGGCAGGTTGCTGGGGCTTCTGCCTATTGGCGGAGCACAGGCAGCCCTGCCCTTATCTTGCCAGCTCAGCTGTGCTGCGAGGCATTGGCTCTGGTGGGTGTTGTCTTCCTCACGACTCTCCTAGAGGAACTGTGGTCTGGTGACAATGTGGACTTAAGTTTCGCCTCCCAACCTAAGTGACCTCTCTCAGCCTCCACAGTGTCCAGACGCTCAGAACCTCTGTCTCAATGAGTCAAGGAAGCAGGAGGAATAGGTGAGTCCCCCATCGCTCCAGCTGCTCAGCGCCCCCTACCCCCCACCCGTGCCCTTCCCACCCCACTCACAGTCTTTCCCACTCACCCAGACAGGGCTTGCTGGGGAATTACTCTTGTCAGTGCTAGGGGACCCCAGGGGATGTCCAGGATTAAACCCAGGTCAGCAGCATGCAAGGCAAATGCACTACCTGCCGTGCTATCTCTCCAGCCCCAGCTCCTGACAGCTGCACTCCCAGGCTGTCTTTCTTTCTTTCTTTCTTTCTTTCTTTCTTTCTTTCTTTCTTTCTTTCTTTTTTTCTTTCTTTCTCTCTCTTTTATCCTTCCTTCCTTCCTTCCTTCCTTCCTTCCTTCCTCTTTCTCTCTTTCTTTCTCTCTCTCTCTCTTTTTTTTTTTTTTTGCTTTTTGGGTCACACCCGGCAATGCACAAGGATTACTCCTGGCTCTGCACTCAGGAATTACTCCTGGTGGTGCTCAGGAGTAATAGGATGCTGGGGGTCGAACCCGGGTTGGCTGCGTGCAAGGCAAACGCCCTACCTGCTGTGCTATCGCTCCAGCCCCTCTTTCTTTCTCTTTCCTTTGTTCCCTTCCTTCCCTCTTTCCTCCCTCCCTCCTCTCTTTTTTCTCTTTCTTTCTCCCTCCCTCCCTCCCTCCCTCCCTCGCTTCCTCTTTCTCTCTCTCTTTCTTTCTTTCTTTCTTTTCTCTCTTTCTTTCTCTTTTTCGCCTTCCTTCCTTCCTTCCTTCCTTCCTTCCTTCCTTCCTTCCTCTGTTCTTTCTTTCTTTCTTTCTTTCTTTCTTTCTTTCTTTCTTTCCTTTCCCTTCCCTTCCCTTCTTTTTTCTTCTCTGAAGTATGCTCAGGGATCACTACTGGCAATGCTCAGGGACTCCCAAAAACATACTTTTGGGGGGTTTCTTGCCAGAGAGACACTTGCACAGCTGACCCGGTTGGATCCCTGGGCACCCCATATTATCCCCTGAACACTGATCCCTAAGTGAGAACTGAGCACACCTGGGAGTGGTCCTCCAACAAAACAAACAAACAAACAAACAAAATGTTGCTGAGTTCCCTGTTTGGTTCCTTGTTAAGTAGCTATCACTAAGGTAATTGTCAAACTGACTTTTTCTTCATTTGTCAACTCTGGGCCTCCTTCCATACCTTTTCTTAGACTTCTCTGAAGGACGGAGAGGCACATGACACCTGTGATGCTGAGATCCTCCCGCGTCTCTCAGCAGCATCCCTGACCTCGACTCCCTCCCTGGTGGGCTCCTGAGGCTCGCAGCTTCTCTCTGGTGCCTCCAGTGGGTTTTGTGGCTCTAGCCGGTCCCGGGGGCCATCCCCGACCCACTCATTCTCCACCCCGTAGTCCTCTGATCAAACCCAGAGACCGTCAGTTTGACTGTCTTCCTTGCTGCCAACCGGCTGCACCCTTTGGACGCGGGCTACTCCTTGTTCAGCCTGTGTGTGACCAAAGTGTCCCGGCTGCTCCCACAACTTCCCTCCCATCCTCCTCCCCGGCCTCTAGAGAGGCGGTCTCCTATGCCAGCCCCCACCCGGCCCAGGGCCCTGCGGGGGGAGTCCAAACTCCAGACTCTTTGGGGGCTGGGGAGATAGTACAGAGGATCAGGCACTTACCGTGGGGTACAAGCGGATGACACTGCTTTGATCCCCCACTTCCCGAACCCTGCCAGGCTGAGCACTGAGTCAGGAGTAAGCCCTGAGCACTGCTGAGTGTGGCCCAACACCCCCGAACAAAACAAAACAAAACAAAACAAAACAGCAGACTCCGTCCATGGGCCGTATGGCCCCGTGTCCCTTTGCTCTCCTGGCACTGTTCCCTCTCTTCTCCCGGGTCAGTCTGTCCATCCTCCTCACAGTTCCGGTTTCCTGGATTATTCCGGTACCCAACACTCATCTCCACCCCCAGTGTGTGCCCGTGTGTGCCCCGTGGGGTCAGCCTGCATTCTCTCTACATTTTGGGGGGAGTGGGGGATTTGGGCCACGCCCAGCAATGCTCAGGGGCTATTCCTGGCTCTGCACTCAGGGACTCCTCCTGGCAGTGCCCAGGACACCGTATGGGGGTGCCTCCGTAACCCAGGTCAGCTGCGGGCAAGGCAAATGCTTTTCTCGCTGTGCTATCACTCAGGCCCCTCTCTTCCTGCTGTGCTAGCCCTCAACCCTCTCTACTTTTTTTTTTTTTTTGCTTTTTGGGTTGCACCCAGTGATGCACAAGGGTTACTCCTGGCTTTGCACTCAGGAATTACTTCTGGCAGTGCTGGAGGGGGGGGGCATATGGGATGCTGGGAATCGAACCCGGGTTGGCTGCATACAAGGCAAACGCCCTACTCACTATGCTATCGCTCCAGCCCCATCCCCTCTCTACTTTTGTGGCGATCACTGCCTGCAGGGCTGGGCTCAGCGGGGCCTGGGGCTGTGAGGTGTCAGAGATGGAGCCCGGGACTCCCACAGGTGGAATCCAGGAGCTCTACCATGGAGCCTCCTGCCTTCTATTATTGTTATTACTTTTATGTATTTCTTTTGTCTGGGGGTCACACCTGGCTGTGCTCAGGGCTCACTCCTGGATCTGCACTCAGAGACCACTCCTGGTGGGCTTGGGGGCTCATACGGGTGGCCAGGAGTTGAACCCTGGGCCGGATTGTCTGCAGCCTTCTTCCATCTCCTGAACCACTGAACCCCTCCTTTCCCAGACCCGGACCTACACCCTCCTCCACAGCGAACAATGAAGCCCCAGACCCACTCTGATCTCTCTCCCTCCATCCAAACCTGTGCTTTGTTAGTCAATTTTATTTTTCTTTTTGGGTCACACCGGCAATGCACAGGGGTTATTCCTAGCTCTGCACTCAGAAATCACTCCTGGGCATGCTCAGGGGTCCATATGGGATGCTGAGAATTGAACTTGTGTCGGCTGCATGCAAGGCCAATGCCCTACCCGCTGTGCTATGGCTCCAGCCCCTTTATTAGCCAAATACTGATCCAGCTGCTTCCCTTTTGGTGACTGTCAACCTGGAGTGGACGATAGGCAATGGATGGTCCAGATAACTGCCCACCCGGGTACCAGAGTCAGCCTTGGTTTTGCTTCTCTGGGGGTATGCACGGTGCAAGGAATAGGATGAGGGAGATCTGAGCACAGAGACTCAGTCTGAAAAGTAGAAGGGGTTGGTCAATGCCCCCCTTCCCTCCACGTGGTCTTGCCTGTTGTGAGGGCGGGGACTTAGGGAGTCTAGGCAGGGGAGGGGAAAGAGAGTTCCTAGGAGAGGGAGGGTGTTGAGGGTCTCAGTAGAGGAGGTGGGGTCACCTGTCCTGTCTGGTACTGAGGTCTCACGTAGGTGATGTGTGTAGTCTTCTTCCAGGTCATGAACCACTGAACTCCTGCTCCCCAAACCTGACCCTACTCCCACCCTTGCACTCTGGTCTCTCTCCCTCTCTCCATCCATCCAAACCTATAGTTTATTAGCCAGATATTGATCCAGTCACACTCCGGTGCCTGGGAGCGACAGCCTGGGAGTGGGGTATGGGGGGAAGGGAGGGAGTTCTGGAGCTCTCCGGGCACTGCCCCCAGAAGAATCTCCCTGTTCCCGACACATCCCTGGCACAGTGCTGGCGCCGAGACGAGGCAGGGAGTGGGACCCAGCGCATGTCCTGTCTGTCGGTGCTGTTTTGCTCATTCCCAGGCGTCTGTCTGTCTGCCTGCCTGTCTGTCTGTCTGTCTGTCTGTCTGTGTGGGCCTGCCTCCAGGGGCTGCTGCCCTTTGGCAAATGCCTTCAACTTTGGCAGAAGCTGCCGTCTGGGGGCTACAGCCATAGCACAGCGGGTAGGGCATTTGCCTTGCATGCGGCTGACCCGGGTTTGATTCCCAACATCCCATATGGTTCCCCGAGCATCACTGGGTGTGACCCCCCCCCCAAAAAAAAAGAAAAAGAAGAAGCTGCTCTCTGTCTGAGCGCTGGTTTTGAAGGCTGGGAGCGGTGCTCTTTGCAGCATGGGGAGCTGCTTCCAGCCCTGGCCCGACTCAATGCCTCTGGCTCCCGCCCCTGTAGCCGGACAGCAGCTGAGCACAGCTACCTGCTGCCTCTCCACTGCCACTCACCGGCTCCACCCATGACACTCACTCACGCCTTACCCCAGGAGGAGGAGGCCTGGCTTGCCAGTGACCCCCAGCGGCCTCTCCTGCCCCTGTGACTCGCGGGCGGGCGTGTCTGTTCCACGTCCCACATGCCCTGGGCTCAGGGAGTGTGTGCGGGAACCCGCCGGGTTACCCATTAACCCAGCCCATGTGGAAGGGCTCATGGGCAGCACCAATGCCTCATTCTGACCATGGGTCTGTGCCGCTGTTTCAGGGCCTCCCGCGGGGGCAAGCTCAGCTCGTCCCCTTTCCTGCAGATGATACGAACATTCTTTCAGAAGAAGCTGGTGCGGGAGTTTCTGGCTGAGTTCTTAAGCACCTACACCATGATGGTGAGTGCGTCAGTGGGACAGGGCGGTGGTTGCGGTGGAAAGGGCATGAATATCACAAGGATGGGGCTTGGGGAGGCTGCCCGAGACTGGCATATCCCCCACATGCACCCCCAGCCCCAGGGTCGGGGATTTCCAGGCCTCTGAGCCAGAAATCGGAGGGAGAAGTGAAGGAAAGCGAGTGGGAGCACTGTGTTGCTTGCAGAGCATTTTGTAAGGCAAAAAGCTCCTAATACAAGGAGGCACAATGAAACCATGAGCCCAAGGCAGGTCGGGGCAGGGACAGAACTGGGGAGAAGGGAAATCAAGAGATAAAACGAACACTGAAAGTGGGACCGAGGATGGATGGCCTGGCCCAGGGGAAGTCATGGAAAGGCTTCCCACAGGGAGTTTCAGTCAGAGGAGAGTCTGGGTGTAGTCCGGAAGCTCAGCAGAAACGCCAAGGCCAGATGAGGCGGTGGCTGGCAAGGGTGAGGGCAGTGACCGAGGCAGACAGTGCAGTACCCGGGCCAGGCTGGAGAAGGAAGCGCAGGAAGGTGGAGTCAGGAAGAGAGAGGTGCGGGGCATGTGCCCAGCTGTGCATTCCGAGGAGGGGGACCCCGCAGGGCTACGGGAGGGGCTCAGTTTGGATAGAGCAGGTGAGCTCTGCGTGCTGGATGTGTGTGTGGGGGGGAAATCTTGGGGTGGTCAGATGTTAGGGGTTGGAGTTGAGGAGAGTAATGTGCTGGGGCAGGCGAGATAGTCCAGCAGGCCGGATGCTTGTCATGTATGGGGCCGAGCCCTGGCACCCCATACACTCCCTTAATCTCCTCCGAGAGTGATTCTTCAATATAGAGCCGGGAGTAAGTAAGCCCTGAGCATTGCAGGTGTGACCTGAAAAGTAGAGAGAGAAAGAGACAGAGAGAGAAAGAGAGACAGACAGAAAGGCAGAGAGGGAAAGGGAGAGAGAGACAGAGACACAGAGACAGAGACCCAGAGACAGAACGAGATACAAAGAGGGAGAGGCAGAGAGAGAGAGAAAGGGAGACAGAGAGAGGGAGAGAGAGATATGAAGATACAGAGGGAGAGATACATAAAGACAGAGGGATACAGAGAGACAGAGACACACAGAGACAGAGAGGGAGAGACCGAGAGAGACTGAGAGACAGAGAGGGAGAGGGAGAGAGAGATACAGAGGGAGAGATACAGAGAGAGACAGAGGGAGATACAGAGAGGGAGAGACAGAGAGAGGGAGAGAGAGAAAGAGTAAAAATGAACCCTTGGGGGCTGGAGTGATAGCACAGTGGGATGGGGTGTTTGCCTTGCACACGGCTGACCCGGGTTCGATTCCCAGCATCCGATATGGTCCCCCGAGCACTGCCAGGAGTAATTCCTGAGTGCAGAGCCAGGAATAACCCCTGAGCATCGCTGGGTGTGACCCCCACCCCAAAAATAAACTGAACCCTTAGTTAGGGGCTGGAGATGAGAAGGAATGAGCGAGCAGGATTTATGGAGTCTCCCCAAAGAGGAAGTGGCCAGCGCTGTGGTACAGAGGAGCACGCTCGGAGGAGCGCCCTGCACTTTGGCTGTCAGCAGGGACCGCGACAAAGGCTCCCTTGGGGCTGAAGAGCAATGGGCTGAAGCACAGGCTTGTGCGCAGGAAGCCCCAGGTTTTACTCCTGACACCTCACAGTCCCCTGAGCACTTCCAGGAGTGACTCCCAAATGGGGAGCACCGCTGAGCACCTGAAACCCCAACAGCCACCAGGGCCTGGGTCTCCCCTGCTTGCCCTGCCCACCTGTCTCTTCCTTCAGCCCTGCATGCTTGTTGGGGATGGCGGGGCCTGTCTCTTCTAGGGGGCGAGAGCACTGCTGGGCGGAGATCAGCAGCATGCATTGAGCATGAGCGTGGCCCCTGGTGTGTGTGTGTGTAGAGTTGTGAGTGTGTAAGCGTCTGAGGACTGAGCGACAGTACAGCAGGTGGAATGTTTGCCCTGCATGTTGCCCACCTGGGTTCCGTCTCCAGCACCCATCTGGTCCCCTGACCCATCAGGAGTGACCCCGGGGTGCAGAAGAGCCGGGAGTAAGCCCTGAGCACAGCCCGGTGTGGCCCCCCAAAAACTACACACAAAAAGAAAAACACAAAAGGATGTGTCTGAGTGTGTATGGGTGTGTGTGTATGTGTGTGTGTGTAGGGGTGTGTATGTGTGTGGGAGTGTGTTGTGAGTGTGTCTGTGTTCATTTCGTCCCAGTGCAGCCATGGGGCCCTTGGAGTCCAGGCATATTGGACAGCCAGGTCCTTCTCTTGCCATGAGTCCCCAGCTTACTCGAGCACCTCTCATTTCACCTCGCGGTGGGTTCTGCAGCGCGTGGCCCTGGGGTTCGGGTCGAATGTCCCCTCTGCTCCCTCCTACCGCACTTCTGCAGCTCCGGAGCTGGGCAGAGCTCAAGCTGCCCTGTTTGTAACCAGGCACTGAGGGCTGACAGCCCAGGGTGAGGGCCACGAGCCCCACACCGGGCACCCCAGGGGGATGCTGCTGGCCTCTGGCCAATGGTGCGAGAGTGCTCAGTGGCTCCCAGTCTCTGCCCTCTGGCGCTGTCCACCCTCCTCTCGGCTCTGTGGACAGCGGCTGGTTCCTGTCCCGCTTCACTCCGGGCCAAAGTAATTCATTTATGACAAAACTTTCCAGTCCGTGAGGGCTGTTAAACCTTGGAACCCGGAGGCCTGCAGGCCAGAGGGTGCTTCCTCAGAGTTCCCTGGGAAGACGCCGCCCACAGGCCTGCAGCCATCCACACCTGCGTTTCTCCTTATTAATTATTTCCCCACCCCCTTCCCTCCACTGTAGATGAGGTTGGGAGGTGTGGAGTCACATGCGCGCTGGGGTTGCGGGGCTGGGGGGCGGTACTGTGGCTTGGATGGGAGCTCACCGCGGGCTGCCTCCGAGCCAAGGTGCTATTTTTTTTATTTAAAAAAATTTTTTAATTGAATCACTGTGAGATACAGTTACAAGCTTTCGTGTTTGAGTTTCAGTCATACAATGATTAAACACCCATCCCTCCATCAGTACACATTCTCCACTACCAATGTCCACAATACTGGACAACAACACAATAGTCCACAACACCACCCCCTCCTTTCTACTCCTCCCCCTGCCTCCATGACAGACAATTTCCCCCACACACTCTCTCTCTACTTTTGGGCATTATGGTTTGCAATACAGACACTGAGAGGTTATCACGTTTGGTCCTTTATCTACTTTCAGCACACATCTCCCATCCCAACCGATTCCACCAATCATCATAGACTTAGTGATCCCTTCTCTATCCCAGCTGCCTTCTCCCCCAGCTCATAAGGCAGGTTTCCAAGTGTGGAACAATCTTTCTGGCCCTTGTTTCTACTGTTCTTGGGTGTTAGTCTCAGATTATGTTATTTTATATTTCACAAATGAGTGCAATCATTCCATGTCTGTCTCTCTCTTTCTGACTCATTTCACTTAGCATGATACTCTCCGTGTTCATCCACTTTTAAGCAAATTTCATGACTTCATCTCTCCTGACAGCTGCATAGTTTTCCATTGTGTAGATGTACCAAAGTTTCTTTAACCAGTCATCTGTTCTTGGGCACTCGGGTTGTTTCCAGTTTCTGGTAATTGTGAACAGTGCTGCAATGAACATACAGCTACAGATGTCATTTCTACTGTGCTTTTTTGCACCCATGCCGAGGTGCTTTTGTGCTCATATAGTTGGGTCCGAGGGAAGTTTATTGGCTTATTTTCGTTTGGGGCCCATACCCAGTGGTGCTCGGGGGCTATTCCTGGCTTTGTGCTCAGGAGTGGTCGACCTTGGTGGTGCATGGAGGCTGGGTGCCCAGTAGGATTCAACTGGGGTTGGCCACATGCAAGGCAAGGTCTTATGTCCTGTTGCTTGCTCTTCTCTCCAGCCCTCAAAAATTCACTTTTCAGGGGCTGGAGCAATAGCACAGCGGGTAGGGCGTTTGCCTTGCACCCAGCCGACCTGGGTTGGATTCCCAGCATCCCATATGGTCCCCCAAGCACCACCAGGAGTAATTCCTGAGTGAGCCAGGAGTAACCCCTGTGCATTACCGGGTGTGACCCAAAAACAAACCTGTAGCACTGTAGCACTGTCTTCCCATTCATCAATTTGCTCAAGCGGGCACCGGTAATGTCTCACAACAAATTGTGAGACTTGTTACTGTTTTTGGCATATCAAATGTCATGGGGAGCTTGCCAGGCTTTGCTGTGCGGGCAAGATATTCTCGTTAGCTTGCCAGGCTCTCCGAGAGGGGCGGAGGAATTAAACCTGGGTTGGCAGCATGCAAGGCAAATGCCCTACCCAATGTACTATCTCTCCAGCCCAAAACAACAACAACAACAACAAAAAAAAACCTCTCACTTTTCAGTAGTTGCTTTTGCCCAGTGTTTTCCAAAGCAGGTGAGACCACCCCCCCACCTCTCTTCCCACGGGACTCTCGAATGATCCCAGCATGGAAGTCCCTCAGGTGCAATATGTGTGTGTGTGTGTGTGTGTGTGTGTGTGTGTGTGTAGGGGGGTGGAGTGGGGAAGCAGAGCTTCCTGCTTGTCTGTTGAAAGGAAATAGATTTCCAGGGCCGTGCCTCTCTGTGGTTGTGCTAAAGATAAAGTTGGGCCTCCAGCGACCAGGGAGACACACATTTCTTCCAGTTGTGGTGCTCACAGGGGATCACCCACACGTGACCATGGTGGGGCTGGGAATCGTGAGTGGCTCCAGGGATCAGAGCAGGGTTGCCAGCTCCAGAGGCCGAGGTACCAGGACTGCAACTTGGTACATGCGGCAGTGCTGGGGGCCGAAGTCTCTGCTCCATGCTGCAAGGCTGGAGCTTCAGCCACTGAGCCGTGCCCGCCTCTTCCCGTCCCCTTACTGAGATTCTCACCGAGTGATGGCTGTGTGTCACACAGTGTCCTGTCACGTCCTTCACAGGCTGCTCCTCCCCAAATCCTCCTGATAACCCTGTGAGGGGAGGTATG